TCCTTAAGATTCCCTGTTAACCATTACATATTATTTAGCTCAGATTCTTAATTACCTTTCATCCAGCAATTTATCATCTACTCATTTAAATCCATTCAGTCTGGATTTAAGGGAAATACGTACTGGAAATACAGATTCATCTCTTCGGCATTTGATAAATTCATGTAAACTTACAACACCTTTCCAACCATTACTACCATATCATTCTATCCACAGATAGTTTACACATATAGTATAACCCAATTTTAATTATATACCCTTCATAATCACCCAAGTCAATTTTTACTTCCATTGTCACAATTACAGCTTAATCATCTGGTGAATTTCATCCTATCATGCCATATCCCATCTTTCTCCTACTCCCCTTATGGTACTCAACACTGGTAATTTAACTTTCAACTAACCCCATTTGCTTACCCAGTCTACTTAAGAAAACAATTCTAATGTCTAATCTAGACCATTTTAACTTAAAATTTTAGGCTCCTAATTTGCAGATAACTTGTACATTTAATATCTTCAAGTCTAATTATAATTCATTCAGAAAATTAATCTCCCAAATCAGTTATTTACCATTCAGTCTGGCTTAAGGGGAAAAAAACTAATTTTAAATTATATAATTATATTTTCCATCAACTAACACATTTATAGTTTAGTCAGTTACTTAATTTCATCCTGTCAAACTCATTCTTATTCATATTTATTCAAATTTATCAGCCCACTCAATTTATTAAGTTACCAGATAATACCATTCCCTTAAGCAATCCACTTCAAACAGATACTACTGCTGGTCACACTATCATCAAAATTTATTTAGTTACAGGATAATACCATTTCGTTAAACAGTCCGCTTCAAACAGATATTTCTGCTGCTCATAGTAATAACAATTCCATCTGCAATTAACCCAACTTATTTTCCATGAACTTCCTGCCTGTTATTGTTCTCAATAGTTCCTTTTTGAGTTGATTTTCACCGTTTTCTAGCAAATGCCGTGGGTTTTTATACTCCTTTAGCATAATCACAGAGGAGTCTCTTCCATATATGTTTACGTCCTCATTCAGTTGATTGGTGCCGATATCTCCAAATTTCTTTATGTTTTTCTTTGTTTTTCCCCTCTTTGGTGCAATCTTTTTCCTCCAAGAAGGTTTAAACCGCCGTTTTTTTGTCCCTTTTCTTTTTTGCTTTTCTCCACTTTCCAAAATCCCTTTTGACAGAACTGCTTCTTTTAACCCTCCTTCTGTCTGTAAATGCTGCAAATTGAGCTGCGTTTCTTGCTGCTCTTCTATCTGTACAGACTCCTGTGAGCCAATTTGGATTTGTGTCCCTTGAATTGTCCCTTGGGTTGGCTCTTCATTATCTTTGCCCTCTTCACAAAAAGATTGGGAATTTCTAAAAGCCTTATCCCATAGCAATTGCAATGCTTTGCCTAGTTCTTCTCTCAAACTTTCTTGAAATTGTTCCGACCTGAGTTCCTCTTTAACTTTCAAAATTACTTTCTCACAGATAGACGCTGCCACCATTTTCTCGCTCAGTTTACCAATCTGTGGAAGTACTTTTTATGGAAAATGCATTCCTTAACGTTTCTAAAGCAAATACTTCTATTATTTTTATCGTTTTTGCCTTGCAAAGAACATATTATTTCCAGACAGATTTGACTCTTACCGCCTCAACACTTTTCTCTCTCAATTCCCTTGTACCTGCTCCGGCTGTTTTTCTTTCACCAATGGGGGAGGTCCGCAAAAGAGATGGTAACGTTCCGTTTCATAAGTAGTGCTCACCAGCCAATATCCACCATGTGATACGGAAAAACAATGTTCAAAATAGAAAAAATAATCCACCACATTAAAAGTCCGGATGGTTGTTGTTGTGGAAGCACGGCGAACCGTGCCTCCGCCATTCCGCAGTCCCGCTTCAGGGCAATGGCGGACACCCCCCCGATTGCCGAATTCGGGGTGGGGCTGCCACAAGCCCTCTGCTGCCAACCCGCCCTCCAGGAGGGTCAGGAGAAGCCCACCCAGAGAACCAGGGGGCTCCTAGGAGCCGCGGAGGGCCGCGGCGAAGCGCGACGCGCCCGCCCGTTTCAACGCCGTACCGGAAGTCCTAGGTATGAGCTTTCGTGTGCACGCACACTTCCTCAGGTACAATGAAATAGAATTTACAAGTCCATACATATAAGGCAGATGTTGAACAGCAAATTAACAGGTTTTGCTGGGGGCCACAAACCAGTTTGCTTCAAGTGAACCTCCCAGTTTGCTTTGGTTCATAGCTTGTTTTGTGGTTCAGTCATGAACCACAAACCAAACTGAAATGCATTTTTGCTGTTGGTGCCCATCCCTACTTTCGACCACCAAGCTAGCAGGGCCTGTTCCAACTTCTTCCTTCCCCATCATTTTCTGGTTCTCTCTGTCCTCTTTTCCTCTCTCCTCTGTCACAAAGAGGAGAATAAATTGCACGGCAGCTATTTGCTTGCCCCAATACAGCTAGGGATCCAGACCTTTACAGTCTGACTTTAACTTCTCTGTTTGAGAGATGAACTCCAAGGCAGCTGTACATCTGGCCATTCAAAGTCCTTGCCAGCAGACTTCACACAGCCCAGAACCTTGAAGTCCCAATACCCATCCTTCCCCATCTCACCTTCTACAGTCATGAACAGTATCTGGGTCAGTCGAGTCCCAAGTACTTCTTCTCCTCTCCTCCGGTCTCTCAGAATATGCCCCACTCAACTGGTAGATTCAAACTACTTGCTTAGAAATGGTTCCCCTCTCAATTTTCAGATGTCTGAATCAAAAGTAATAAGAGGGGGGAGACTACACCAACCACACTGAAAATAGATCTTCTGCAAATATTACGCAAGTTCCTTTTTTCTCAGAAGTTTTGAGTTTTAAGAACCTCTTCACTTTCACTGGAAATCATGATTTCCAGGAACAAGGTGGCAACTTTTAATTTCCTTTGGGTGAGACACAACAGGTGACTTAACGGTGTCTTTGCTTTACTTCCAAATATGCAGGCAGATCTTAGGGGGAGGTAAATTAGGGTTGCCAACTCCAGCTTGCGGAAATTCATGGAGATTTGGAGGCAGCATCTTGTGGATGCTGAAGTGGTGGAGGGAGCTCAGTGGGTATGTGATTCCATAGGATCCACCCTCTGAAGCTGCCGGGTGCTCTAAAGAGGGTCACCAGGTCCCCCTTGGTTACTGGCATGGAATGGGGGTGGCAGAGATGTAAGATCCAGGTTGGGAAACTCTCAGAGATTTCGGGATGGAGTCTGGAGAGGACAGGGACCTCAGTGGGGTACAATGCCATTGATTCCACCCTCCAAAGCATCCATTTTCTCCAAGGGAACTGATCTCCATAGTCTGGAGAGGACCTGAAAGTCCAGGATATCCCCAGGTCCCACCTGGAGGCCTAGGGGAAATTGACCCAGTGCGTGTTGGGCGTTATCATGTATTTTGGCCTAGGGACTAGAGTTTGACTGTGAAGGTAACCCTGCTCTGCTTTGCAGGTTCATGATCCATGGTTGGGAACTTGTGTGAATAGCAAACATCAGGCCACGTAGCCTGCAATTTTCCTGGTTCTATTCCCACTGTCACCACCACCACCACCACGCTTTGCAACTTTCCAGTCCACTGGTAATGAAGCAGATTGGATTAAATGAGTTTTTGTTGCAATGAAGATTAGCAGAAATGGTGGCAAAGTGTCCTTGAAAGGTCAGCTGGGCACCACGGGTGACCCAAAGAAGCCAAATACAAGCAACTGTATGCTCAGAAGACCTCATTGCCCATACTTGAAAACTGCCCCCCGTCACAGTTGCCAGCTCCAGGTTGAGACATTCCTGGATAGTTGGGGGAGGAGCCTCGGGAGCATGGAGTTCGGGGAAGGGTGGGACTTCAGTGGAGTCTTATTGCCGTGGTCTGCCCTCCAAAGCTGCCATTTTCTCAAGGAGAATGGATCTCCATCGCCTCCGCTTGGAAACGGGCAACTCTCATCTTGGGGTGACCACATACTTCTGCAGCAGGCAGCTTATTCCCAGCTTGTTCAGAGGGAGAGAGTTTTCCGCAGTGTCAAATTTCCCCCTGCCTGCTCTTCTATTCATCTGTGGATTTCCCTCGTTTCCATAGGCGTAATCTTCGTGGGGGCGGCAGGGCGTCAGCCCCTGCCGAAATTTTCAGGAAGGTGCTCAGCCTCACCCGGGAGCCACCCTTGCTCCTAGCAAAGCAATGCCTCTGGCCCAGCCCCAGCCCCCCCCCCCGGGAAATTGGAAAGTCTACACCCTTGCCATTTCCCCAGATGATTTCTTCCTCCCAGGCGCAAAAACGCAGTTTCCCCCCTCTTCCGGCGCAGCATGGGAATCCCTGGAAACAGAGTATTTGGATGCCATGCACCAAGAGGGGAGAACCTGTATTGTAGCACCTGGGAGGGAGAAATCATCTGCAGAAATCAGGGAGATCCGTGGATGAATAGAAGAGCAGGCAGGGGGAAACTTGACACTGCAGGAAACGTCACAGTGAGAGAGCAGCTGCTTCAGTCCCTCCGTGGCTGAATCCCATTTATCGAACTCTCGCTGAATTTTCAGGTCGCCACTCCACCCCAAAGATAGCAGTACTTGCAGAGGGGAGGGCTTCTCTGGAGGAGAAGTGTCAAGCCCGACCTGGGCTTTGGGGGCGGACCCTCCCGTGGCCGTGACGACTCAAGACGGGGGAGGTCTGACGGCTCTGGAAGACGAGGCTTATAAAGAAGAGGGGAAGCGTTGGGGCCTCAGATGGGTAGGGGACAGAGTTGAATGGCACTCCGTAAGTCCCTCTACCGCCGTGCTTCGGTTCCCCAGCCTCTCAGCCTCCTTCCTGGACTCCTTCTCTCTCTCTCTCTCTCTCTCTGCATCAAGTCGTTCCGACCACATACTTCCTCCCGGCCCCCATCGCTTCCCTCTCCTTTATACCCAGCTCCCCCTCCCAGCACCGTCTCCTGTTCCCGCCTCCCTCTCATTCCTCCCAGCCCTGCCCCCCATGATAAACTTCGATGCCTTCCCCATGGCCTCGGTGTGGTTGGAGCCGGTGTGTGGGGTCTCGTGTGGGCGTGGGTCCGTCATCAGCCTCTCCTGGGTGCCGTCGGTCTCTCCTGCTGCTCCCAGAGACTCCTCGCTTCGCGGTCAGGCGAGGTCAGACAGTTGTGCCTTGGCTGCACTGACGGGGCTCGGTGCTGTGGGGTCTCCCCGGTCTGCAGGTCTGCTGGGTGAGTTCATGGTCATTGAGGTCCCGGGGGTGTGGGGGGCAAGTCCCGGGATCCCGGAACCGGGGCAAGAAGAAACACTGAAGACTTACGCATTTTTGTAATGTCTTCTTTCTTTACAAATATACGAGTGGAAGCAAAGCAGATCCACTGTTTGGCGCGCGGGTGCTCTGACTGCAGCTCGGCTAACGTCCGTCAGGCTCCACCGTGCTGCGTCCTTGCGTCGTCGCGTCATCACAGCTCCGCCTCCAACCGTCGTCGCCACGTTCTCAGCCCGTCTCTGCTACCGCCATCACTCCGCCGCCGCTGTTTCTGCCGCCACCGCACTCCTGGCACACCCCATCAGGAGGTGGGTGCCCCTGCCACCTATGGCAGGTACCCATTTGTCTACTCGTGAGTACACTTTCGAGCCGCTGGGTGGGCGGGAGCTGGGACTAGGGCCAGGAGCTCACCCCGACCGCGGTGGTCTCGAACAGCCAGAGTGGCTGTTTGCTAGTGTTGTTACTTGCAGGCAAATAAAAAAAAGGGCTGGATATGGGCCTGCTCCAGGTGCCTCAACAAGATGGAGGCCGGACCTTTGTCTTCATTTAGATGGGGGTTATCCACTAAAGCCAGGAGAGCCGTCTCTGTTCCACAGCCCAGTCTGAAACCACTTTGAAGAGGGTCCAGAGCAGATGGATTAAGCAAGAAGACCTGGAGTCGGTCTGCTACTGCTTTCTCAATTACTTGGCCTAGGAAAGGCAGGTCAGAGACACAGTGATAATCGGCTACATCATTTTTCTGTAGGATTGGGGGAAGGGGAGTTAGTAATGGATGGATAACTGCCTCTTTGTCTTGCTGAGGGAAGGAGTCCTGGGTTAATGATTGCTTTAAAACAGCTACTAAGGGTTTGTCGATGTGGTCCTCACCAGTGCTCCCTCTAACCCGTGGAGTCTTGTGAGCAAAAATTCTACTTTGTGAGCTACTAGCATTAATGGCGTGAGCGAGCGATTTGGCTACTGCATAAATGAGTTTGCTCTGGAGCCATCCTTCCTGAAAAGTACGCAGACGAGTGATTTCAGCTTACGTACTTTTATTTGTGTGGAACAAGACAACTTTAGCCGGCTCGCAGGCCAGCTTATATCCCCCGTGAAACCACCACCCAAAACACACCCCACACCACAATAAGTTATTTACAGTGGCTGAGAGTTCCATAGGCTCTCAGCCAGGAACCTAGCCCTCAGATAGGTGCAGGCTAGGATCCGCTTAGTCCATTGTTTCCTGGAACAAAGCTTGAAAGGTTTCACTTGACCACGTGGAGCCCCAGTCGGCCACACAGTCAGAACTGGATACATTACACCTCCTAAGACAAAAATGTGTGAGCTGGAGGTGAAAAAACTGTGAACTAGCTCACACTAACTCAGCTTAGAGAGAATGCTGGCACTCCTCACGTGACTTTAGCAGCCAAATGGGCAAAGATCCAGGGCACAAGTAGTGGCCTTCGCAGATCTCAGGAGTTTGTCAATATCCAATGGTACATACTATTATAAACACAGATTCTTGAGGGTATGCACATACTAAAGCTGAAAGTACACAAGATACCTATGTTGACTGTCCATGTTAAGGGAACTGCAGGCTGTGTGCACATTCATCACACAAGATTCAAGCACCAAAATGTTAATGACTGAACAGGGCTTGTGAAGAGGAACACTCTTACATCCTGAGCGGAGCGGAAAAAGTGCACAAATGGGGTCGACAGAGAATATATATTTTTATTAGGTTGTCTAGACTGCGTATTGTTTGTATAGGCTTGAGAGGATGAAAGAGTGACCTTTAGAGACTGGATCCTGAGCTTCTGAGAACTGATAAGATTGGGCTAGGCCACGCCACCTTCCCTCCCTTTGGAACACTACACATCTGAAATCTTTGCAAGGAAATTTGAATCCAGCGAATTTGCTTGAGCATTTTGGACCAACTTTAAATTTCAGCTCTTACACAGTATACCACACCCTAAGCCTGTCAGAAGTTAGTAAACTTGTGTACAAAAAAAAGTTTTGGAGATGGCCATAGTGTAGTAGTAGAAAGCACTGTCAAGTCACAACCAACTTATGGTGATCTCATAAGTATTTCAAGGGAAGAGTTGCTCGGGGGTGGTTGGCCATTGCCTGCCATTGCATAGCAATCCTCGACTCCCTTGTTGGTCTCCCATCCAAATACTAACCAGGGCCAACCATGCTTAGCTTCTAAGATCGGACAAGATAAGGCTATCCAGGTCAGGTTTGGTAGTCATACCCGGGTTGGGAATCTCCTGGCTCGAGAACTTGTTGCACATTTGCCATGACGTCGCCAGAAATATTCCTATCCCTTCAATGTCACAGCTCACGTCCACCTCTAGAAAGGCTTGTTCCAAACCTTTAATTCTCCCAGATTGCTCCTCGAAGCAGAAGTTCCAGATTGGAATGTGCTCCCTAGATCCATGCATAAGACTTCATACATCCTGAAAGAACAGTTCAGAAATCACCCGACAATGTGGGCTCAGATGAGACCACAACTTCCTTATTTTGAATGAGTGAGTCAGTTTCTCTGTCTTTGGCAAGGACAGGAGACCTGCTGTAAAAACAGGCCCTTGAGTAAGAGCAGGCCATGCTTGTTGACAGAGGAGAACTCTTACTGACAGCTCAGGGTCACAGAAAGGGCTTGTGGGACCCAGATTCAGATATGTTCTTTGCTAGGCACACGCTGGGTAGACTTTACACAACTTCCTTTCACAACCCCCCATGCTCTTTGGGAAGATAAGCTATCCCATTTACAACCTCAGATTGTTTTAGAATGCATCTGAGTTCTCAGACGTTCCTGCTCTAACCTGGTAGATCTCACCCTCTTCTGAAATCTGGAGGCAACCCTGCTTCTTTTCTAACCACCAACCTTTCCTCCTTAAATGGAAGTCGAACTAAAGGAAGATGTACTAGAACACAGGGATGTACAGTGAAACTCACTGTACACCACTATATACTGCCTATTTCCCCCTCTGCATATCGCACCCAATCCAATCACACCTGCTATTGTTATTCATCTGCTATTGTCATTTGCCTGCTAATGGCATTCGGCATCTGAAATCACTCCACTTCCCAATAAATAGGACTGATGGACACCCATTCTAGCTGTATCTGAAGAAGTGAGCAGTGACTCCCGAAAGCGCAAACCTGCCACATATTTTATTAGCCTTTAAGGTGCTACTGGGCTCTTGCTCTTTTCTAGTGAAACTCACTGGTGTTTATGCACAGATACAGGAAAATACCTCTTTGCACAATTCTTCCGGAATTGGCTGCCCCAAGATGTGGCAATGGTCACTCGCTTAGTTGGTTTAAACAAACAAACAAACATGGAGAAGAGGTCTATCAGCAGCTCTTGCTGATGATCGCTAAATGGAATCGTAATCTTATTTGGCAATCTGAATAGCGTTTAGCCTATTGACTTAAGTGGTCTTACAAGGGTGTAAATCTGCTTAGGGTTGCATGGTTGATGTCTGGTGGCAGCATACCTCTGAATACCAATGGAGGGCAGCCTGGTATGTGGAGCCCATAGAAACATGGTTGGAATCAGGATGCTGGATTAGATGGAATCATCGTCAGATCGATCAGGGTCCTTCTGACATTTTAAAATGAGAGCCTAGGTACCATTAGTAAAGGAAACTACAAAGCAGCATGAAATGAAATCATGGCCAAGAGGGCTCTGGCTCATGAAGAGAAGGAGAAGGAGGAAAAGTAGAAGAGTTCCTCCTGAGAAAACAGCTCTGAAAGAACTTTTGACTGACCCAAGGTCACACCAGCAGCTGCATGTGGAGGCATGGGGAATAAAACCTGGTTCTCCAAGATTAGAGTCCGTGCTCCTAACCACTAAACCAAACAGAGTGTTCCATCCATACCTTGTGGCTAATAGCCACTGACAGACATCTGCTCCATATGTCTATCCAATCCCCTCTTGAAGCTGTCTGTGCCTGTAGCCACCACCACCTCCTGCGGCAGTGAATTCCACATGTTTTTATGGCCCCCCGTAGGGGATTTTTTCTTTGCATTTACTAAAAACTACAACGAAATTAGTCCCCTCTCCACCCTCGCTTTTCCCCGGGGGGCTTTCACTTTGTTGTTTTGTTTCAACTTTACTCACTCTTCATATGTAGATCAAGTAGATCTCGCTGACAGATATGCTTATTTGCTGCTCGACTTCCTCTCGCTTGATGGAGTGTGTGTAGATTAGTCCTTGCTAGAACACAGCAGAGAGACCGTCGGAGCAAAGGGACGCCTCAATTTCCTGACAATATGCCGGGAAAGAAGCGACCCTCAGCACTCCTTGACTGGAGACCCTTTGCAAGGGTCCCTGGGGGGGCGTAGACATTCGCACCCCCTCTCTAACTGCTGGTATGTGAGCCGCCTCCCTGGGAGATCCCAGGAGACACAGCCGCCTTCAGTTTGTCTGAATTCCACATGTTAATTACTCTTTGGGTGAAGAAGTACTTCCTTTTATCTGTTCTAAGCCTACTGCTCATTAATTTCATTGAGTGCCCACGGGTTCTTGTATTGTGAGAAAGGGAAAAAAGTACTTCTTTCACTACCTTCTCAATCCGATGCATAATTTTGTAAAACTCTTATCATGTCACCCTTCAGTCTTCATTTCTCCCAGCTAGCGCCCTAACCTCCTTAGCCTTTATTTCTAGGGAAGGCATCCCATTCCCTTAATAATTTTAGTTGCCCTTTTCTGCACCTTTTCCAGTGCTATAATATCTTTTTGGAGGTCCGCTGACCAGAAGTGTACACACAGTATTCCAAATGAGGCTGCACCATAGATTTATACAGGGCTATTATGATGCTGGTTGATCTGTTTTCACCCTCCGCCTTTCAGATGCTGACACTTCCCTTAGAATTTAGTTTTGGGTGCAGTATCTCTGCATAGTTTTATATCCGTCTGTACTGGAACCTTTCCATTCCTTGAAAGTTAGTGCTGAGAAGAAGAAGAAGAAGAAGAAG